TTGTTGTCATTACAGGGGCTATAAAACTATCATTTGGACGAGAACCGGCCCGGCTCAGTGGAATGCGAGATAATGAAAAAATCCTTCATCGAGGGCCACCTTTCGTGGCCAATAGCACTAAGGCCTGAAACCAAATTCTCCGAGCAGTAGGAGCATAAATCAGCACTAAGAAGGCCAGAACGGAAGACCTAGAAAGCTGGTGCTATTGAGAGAGTTCTGATGGAAGCATGCTTGCGTTAGTTGAGCACAAAGCCATTAACATTTTCTCCAAGAGCAGACATCCTTACTCGATAATAATTGACAATAACGTATGAGGCAAAACATAACCGTTACAATCAAGGATTATCCTCATTGCCAATACTAACTTTTGGAAGAATTAAAATTGCATCATAGCCACTACAAGGGAAGTATGATCACCTGATCAACTTCCGGAGACCCCTATGCAAAGGCCTTACTTTTGACTTGATTCCCCAAAAGGATCTCGGGATTGCAAAGAATTAGAGAGCTTATTTCGTTTTAGTCAATGCCTCGTGAAGGGTGTAAACTCGAAAAGTTTCTCTAAAGGAAGGAGTGCCTCTGACTTCCACATCACTATAAAGACAAACAAAAGTTACATGAATACTGCTCGTATGTTTGAGGCATTATCCCTCACCTGTTGCGCCTGTTGTTGCTGCTGCTGTTGCTGTTGGTCGGACAATGGCTGGCCGTATATCAAATGTTGGTATTGCTGATGATGTGGAGCACGCTGGAGAAGAAGCAATTGCTCCCGTTCCTGATGTTGTTGTTGTTGTTGTTGAGTCTGCTTCCGGGATGCCTTGGCCTCCTGTGACCGTCCGCGCCGGTTGAGCTGCTGCCTCGTCAGCTCGGCATCATCCGTTTGATGCAAATGTGGCTCTAGTTGGCGCATCGATGCTGCCGCAGCTATAGAGGCTAGATCAAAGGCAAGATTGGTAGACTGTACAGAACGTAACGCTTCGGCAGAGTATACGCCGACTTCTTCCGGTACCTGAAGTCCCGAGTGCTGGGGCAGAAGGATAGACTGCAGCTGCTGTTGCTGCTGCGTCTGCTGAGGTTGTATAGAGTGGTGAGGCAAGTGCTGGTGAAGGTGATTCTGCAGCTGCTCAAGCTGTTGCTGCTGTTGTTGTTGTGACTGCTGGAATTGGAGTTGTGCCTCAGTTGCTACTGGGGCCTGCTGTTGGTGTTGATGCTGCTGCTGCTGGTGCTTCTTCCTGCCCCGTGGCGCTTCGCGGCTCAACTCGACTCCCGAACCAGCTCCGAGGCCCACAGCGGTGACCGCGAGAGGCGCGACGGGGCCTGCCAGCAATTCAAAGCTCGACAGTCTTCCAGCATCCAACAGGTCGGTCAGATGAACGCCCGAAGGAATGGAGAGTGAAAGACTCTGTAGATTGTAGCTGGTCAGCTGTGCAGCGCGTTCCTAGTAAGGCAGGGCAGAGCAGGAGTTGGGCACGAGTACAGAAGGAATGCGATAAATCGGCATGAAATTGGGTGGGAATGAGTGAAACGAGCTAGCATGGCATGAGGTTGTATTAAGCTAAGGCAGAGTAAAGTGGGATTAATTGGGGCGGGGAGATAAACGCGGAAATAATAGAGCAAGGCGGGATGTAATGAGCTTGTGAGCAGTGGAATGGGATGGAATTAGGT